AGGCGATTAGATTTTCCGTCTTTTGAATAACAACAAGCGAACGGAGGCCAGGAGCCACAAACAGAGAGCGAGGGGAACCAACGAATGCAAACGCAGTGAACGAGGACAATGAACACTGAGCGCTGGGAATGGATGAATGACAAAAGCGGGAACAAGCAAAAGTGGTTCATATAAAGTTTGATTACTAACAAGGCGTTAGTAGCAAAGTATTCAAAGTATATCTTGTGTTCCGTTTCATTTCATAGGGCCTACGCAGCATGGACGCCTTCGATGAACTGCAAACAGCCAGTCTCGATTCTATGCATGAGGTCGATGGTCGACGTTTTTGGAGTCAACGCTTCTCCCTGGACAGTCGACTTGATGTAAGTCTCACTTTGCAGTTTGCTGGTTACACTTTTTATACTAAATGAAAATCTTCTTTCAGATTGCCAGTGTATGTTCTGTAACCTGATCGCCGAAAAGCCGTCTTTCTAAAAGTTACTTTTATTATTATTACTGTTTGTTATGCGACTGCCGACGAGGGCTGTAGATTGAGCCTCGAGACACAACGCATGTGGCATAACCTAATTGATAAACGTCCCCTCAAGGATAATTAAATATGTTTATGTACAGTAGATTGCATATCTGATTAAATGTGAAGATCAAAATTTGAGTGGGGGATTTGACACACATTTTAGGTTGTTTATTTTGTTCGCTGGGTTGACTTGAGGCGCAAAATGCTGTTTACTACAAATGAGTTCCATTCATGTCAGTATACTGGGGAAAAATAGAGGCGGAAATGGGCGAAATCCAGCGTTTGTTGATATCCAAGGAATTTCCTATGCTATTAAACGCTATGGAGAAAATTTTCTTGTTTATACATGTTGTACTATAAAAAAAACATCCATAAAGGGCAGGAACTTTATAATTATATGTGTTCACAAAACAGATAATTTTGTTTTGCATCCATGATATTGAGGTTAGGGCAATTATGAGATAGCGCATTATTTTTAGGAAAAGAAGAGCGAAATGGATTTGAAAAAATTCATTTTCTAAATCTGCCAAGTTCTGTGCCACAAATTGAGTCATAAACTTATAAGGCTGTTATTTGCTATACCAAACCTTAAATGTATAGTGCATATTTGAAGGGTTACAGGCAAGAAACCCCGTAGAAGATCCCTGTTGAAGACCCTATTTGTATAAAGTAACCAAATCGATTGTACAGTCCATATG